AGACTTTTTCTATGTACACAAAAGGCCTATTTCTCTCAAATATTGTTCACAAATCTGTCTAAATCTGTGTTAGTGAGCACTTGATGCTGATTAGACAGCATGATTATTGCACAGGTGTGCCTTAGGCTGGCCACAATAAAAGGCCACTCTAAATGTGCAGTTTTATCACACAGCACAATGCCACACAGCCGTGCAAAGGCAAAAAAAACTGTAAATTTGTGTTTGGTCGAAAATGAGTTATTGATATTTTTGGCACATTCGAGACCTCCTTTATCATGTGGATAAGTATCTTGAGTCAATTCTGTTGTTTTTTCGAGAAAATAATGGGTTGTCTTAACAGTAACTTCCAAAAGCCTATGAGAAACCAAGGCAGAGCACTGTAACTGGTGGCTTACCTCTTTGGCTTTGTTTTGGAACGCTCATATTGAGTTACGGTACTCTGCCTTTGTTTAGCCGTGCGTCAATATGAAGTTACGGTGCCGGTGTTCTATCAAATAATGCTACCTTTCAGATTGTACGGTGTTCTGCCTTTGTTTTACTCTCCATTAAAATTTAAATGACGATGTAGCCTGTGCACTTTCTACAGTTGACATCAGTCCCTGTAACTTCTGATGTCCTCAGAGCTTTGTCCTGCTAAAATGCGGTCAGAACATTTAGTGGTCTGAACCCGCTCCATCGACAAACGTGCGATATCCATCGCGAAGGATATATGCAGAGTTGACAGAAAAATGTTACACATGCCGTAGCAAGTGAATACAACAAAAAACTAAAGCCCCTCACCCAGTTCGGGTACCGGACCTGGTTGAAACAATCATGCATCTAGCTGGCAGAGCGCCAAAACTTCACCGGCACCTTCAGCACCGCCCTGAACACGGTCGAGCCGTGCTGGTGCATACAACATCAGACCAGCTGTTACAAGTGGGTTGTACCTACAATGACAGCGTCCGGCATAAATCCGCGGGACGAGCGAAGTGCACAAGCACAATAATAGGGCAGACAGCTGAAACCACCGCAACTGAAAAGACGCAGAACACAGAAGGTTGTGCTATAAATGCATTAGTCGTCTGTCTAGGTCAGGGTTCCTCAAACTCGGTCCTGGAGGGCCACTGCAGAGTTTAGCTCCAACCCTGATCAAACACACCTGAGCAAGCTAATCAAGGTCTTCAGGATCACTAGAAACTCACAGGTAGGTGTGTTTGATCAGGGTTGGAGCTAAACTCTGCAGGACAGTGGCCCTCCAGGACCGAATTTGAGGAACCCTGGTCTAGGTAGTCCAGGGCGCACTCCCCACTGAGTCTCAAGGGGGAAAGCACTGCGTTCGTACTTCGTACTTTTCGTGAAAGTACGAGGAGCATGACACCTTCAAACATGAATATACTATAATCCAGTCCCCGGGTCGAATGTGCGCGAGGATCTGTTTTATAGTGATCATTTTGAATGTGCGTTTATCAAGTCTTATCTAAGATACTCTTTACCGCTATGGTGATATTTTGTCATGTCTAATGTATTAATAATGCCACCAGAATGCAACCAAAGCACAGGATAGCAATAAGTAGATGTCTATCATTCAAAATAAATGCCACGATCACTAGATTTTATACAGGTGTTACAATAATGATTTTGTTAATGGTGATCAGCAACCAAATATTGATAATGTGGAAGTTACTGCCTTTTGCCTTGGCATGACTTCTCACTTTTTGCTGACAATACAAAGGCAGAGTACAGTAATTTAAAATAGTGGTCAAAAGTCAAGTTTGAGCTCAAGATTTTTTTATGTAGATAATTTTCATTAAGTACTAAAACATCTAATTGCCAGATTTCCAGTGTCCTACCTATTAATTTGGCGGGACAACTACAAATCTTTAAAGTCATTTTTCTCAGTTCCATACTCTAGCGAGTTAAGGTCTTTTGCCTTTGTAGGGCAGCACAGATGTCACAAGTTTTGAGGGAGCGTGCAATTGGCATGCTGACTGCAGGAATGTCCACCAGAGCTGTTGCCCGTGAATTTAACGTTCATTTCTCTACCATAAGCCATCTACAAAGGCGTTTCAGAGAATTTGGCAGTACATTCAACCGGCCTCACAACCGCAGACCACGTGTAACCACACCAGCCCAGGTCCTCCACATCCAGCATCTTTACCTCCAAGATCATCTGAGACCAGCCACCCGGACAGCTGCTGCAATAATCGGTTTGCATAACCAAACAATTTCTGCACAAACTGTCAGAAACCGTCTCAGGGAAGCTCATCTGCATGCTCGTCATCCTCATCGGGTCTCGACCTGACTGCAGTTCGTCGTCGTAACCGACTTGAGTGGGCAAATGCTCACATTCGATGGCGTGTATGGCATCGTGTGGGTGAGCGGTTTGCTGATGTCAACGCTGTGGATCGAATGGCCCATGGTGGCGGTGGGGTTATGGTATAGGCAGGCGTATGTTATGGACAACGAACACAGGTGCATTTTATTGATGGCATTTTGAATGCACAGAGATACTGTGACGAGATCCTGAGGCCCATTGTTGTGCCATTTATCCACGACCATCACCTCATGTTGCAGCATGATAATGCACGGCCCCATGTTGCAAGGATCTGTACACAATTTCAGGAAGCTGAAAAAAATCCCAGTTCTTGAATGGCCAGCATACTCACCGGACATGTCACCCATCGAGCATGTTTGGGATGCTCCGGATCGGCGTATACGACAGCGTGTTCCAGGTCCTAAATATCCAGCAACTTCACACAGCCATTGAAGAGGAGTGGACCAACATTCCACAGGCCACAATCAACAACCTGATCAACTCTATGCGAAGGAGATGTGTTGCACTGCGTGAGGCAAATGGTGGTCACACCAGATGCTGACTGGTTTTGCACATTTTAGAGTAGGGCTGTACTGTCCCAGTCGATTAGTCGATTAATTGGTCGATACGTTCTGGTTCGACCAAAATTCTGATTGGTCGATTTTTTGCAGCGTTCATTTCATCAGTTTTGCTGCGCTGAGGCGCGCTCATTTCATCAGGTGGAAAGCACTAACTGCTAATGGGGGTGTTTTCAGAGTACCCTTGTTTCACAGGTAACAGTCTGTCTTCAGAACACACCCCTTGTTTTCACCTTTTTTGGATTAGCCCAACCCAAGAGAGAACGATAAGTAGGCTATAGAAGGTTTGATGCTGAATATTATTTATTTAATTGTGAGAGCGTTTAATAGTCAGTCCTCAGTGTGGCAGCATTTTGTTAAAATTGATAACGGGAAAAAGGTCGAATGCAAAGTTTGCAAGCAACAGTTTTCCACAGCTTGACGACAACCATGACATATCATCTAAAAGTGGTAGGCTCACTTGTCTGCGTTAGCTTGCCCTGTCTGTTTTGAGTAGGCTATGAACGTATCAGAATTTGCATATTTCAATGTTTTAGTGTGATAACCTAACTTTTTTATTTTTTATTTGGAGCCTAATGCGCAATTGCGCTGTGCCGACTGTTTGTGTTAGTTTTGAGCCTAAGATGCTTTATTTTTCAGTTATGCACTTTATTTTTCGTTTCTGCTCTTGATCTGGTTTAATACATTTTTTTTTATTAAAGTGGACGTGCCTTTTGTGTTAAGAGTAATAGTCTATTCGTGTCTCAGCCGCGAAGCTGAGCTCCTAGGCCTCGCTCTGTGCGAGGACATGCACAGAGCGGCTGAAATGATAGTGTCTGACAGTTATAACTTAATATTATAACATATGACAAAAATAATTGTCAAAATTATGTTGCATATTCCTCAACAGTTCTTGTGATGACATAACTAGTACTATTTTCGGAAATCATAGGCTATGATATTGCACAGGTGCACGTGATGCAAAGCTGTCAGAGCCGACAGACTCGTGTGTCAGACTCATTTCAGTGCAAAATAATTAGGTCAAAAACAATTTAATATACTGCAAATAGCCTACTAGTTTTTCATGTTTATTTATAATTCATTTAGGCGGACAACAAGGCTACCAAGTACTGCGCACTGTGCGCAGCTAATTAATATAACGGGGTTTTTTTTCTAACGTCATTTTTAGTCGATTTTTAGTCGAAAATTTCAGGACTTCAGTCGACCAAGATTTTCTTTGGTTGAGTACAGCCCTATTTTAGAGTGACCTTTTATTGTGGCCAGCCTAAGGCACACCTGTGCAATAATCATGCTGTCTAATCAGCATCGTGATATGCCACACATGTGAGGTGGATGGATTATCTCGGCAAAGGATAAGTGCTCACTAACACAGATTTAGACAGATTTGTTAACAATATTTGAGAGAAATAGGCCTTTTGTGTACATAGAAAAAGTCTTAGATCTTTGAGTTCAGCTCATGAAAAATGCGCTGGAATAATAAAAATGTTGGCAAAAATAAAAGTGTTGGATTTATAAATTTTTTCAGTGTACAATCACTAGAACACATTTCTGATTTCTGAAAACTGATAAACTTCAAAACCTAACATAGTACAAAATTGAATAAGACAGCTATTTGCACCAGTTCTACAGTGATACCATATTCAAATATATTACGAATGCAAAACGTGAAATACAATCGAAACAATTCGATGCAGCTGAACTCCTACACAGGTTTTAGTCTTTCAATTTCTTTACCATCTATACAAAATATGAAAACTTAGGTATAATTTTGTAATGTAAACATGGACTAAGTTACCTACTGTAGTGAATTCTAAACAGCAGAGTGTCATTCTTGTTTTGTAAAGAACTTTTACAAAAGCAATCATTATATAATGCTGCCCGTTGTTAGTGGTTTTAGGTAATTGTTTTATGAGTGACAATGTGAGTTTGTGACAACCTTTGACAACCTTTGGCAGTGTTGATTGAGACTTGATTTGAAGTGATTTGGTAGTTTCAGTGCATTTTGAGTGTGAAATTAACTACTATGACAAGTTGAAAGTTAGTTAGGAAAACTTTGTGCTGTAATTTATTTGTGGAAGCAGTGATTTTAAATATTATTTTTGAAGTACATGATCTGGTTCTCTTACCGTAGTGAGGTATGATGGCCCAGGCCATGGCAGAGGCATAAATCTCCCCTATCATCCAGAACATGCAAAGCCAGCTCAGATGTTCTCCACGCTTCTCTCTTGCCAACACCTCAGCAAAGTATGAGAAGACGATGGGCACCGCTCCACCAATCCTGAAGGACAAGAGAAGGAAAAATAAAGCAGAGAAGCACAATCTCAAGGCCAGTGCAGAGGGTATAAGTGCTCAGCGAATTAAGACAGCTGTTTTCTTTTTTATGTACTTCCCATTTGCATAATTTTGAAACACAATAACAAGTGTGTATCTGTGGAAAGATAGATATCTGTATCTATCTTTTTTAAATTGTGTTTACAGTTTTTCTCAATTGCTAACACAACTCATTAAGCAATTGACCATTTTCTCACACCTATAAACACATTCTTAAAACTGCACACCAACTTGGACAAACCTCAAACTTCCACATCAAAATCAAATATTTTTTAGTCAAAAACATATTCTCTTGTCAGAATTAAACTTTGGTCTCGGATGACACACAAGAACCTAACAAATACACAGACTGCTTTCCTCTCCAGTGAACACTAATGAGATCAATTCATAACACTGTAACAAAAACCTCTTTTTGGGTTTCAGGAAATATTTTGCAGCTCACTGTCTATTACAGTATGCAACATGAACAGAGGGGTCCAGATACAGTAAAATACAACAATGAGCTTAAATAAAAGTTTATTTACATAGCACTACTGTAAAGCAGACATTCTCTATGTACCTTCCCTAGGCAGTCATTTCTCAGTTTTGCAAAAATACAGAACATGTCAAAAAATATTTGGCTAAAAATAAATTTGACAATCATGAGTTTGAAGGTATACAAAGTTTACTGTACAAAGGGAAATTTCCCTCATCGAAAGTACTGTTTCTGTGTACTGTAATTTCACTGTATGTGTAAATCATATAAAATCCCTGTAGATGATTCTTTCAGCTCTCTCTCCAGTGTTAGGATGCATTTTCTAAAGCACAATCACATGTGCTCCTATTTATAATATCCCGAGATTCTGATGTGTCAGGTTAAGCCTGTGTAAAATGAATATAATTTGGAAGAAATCGTTAAGAAAATTGGTATGTGTGCGAAAACAGGTGAAATGTGTCTTTGTTTTGAGAACTGAATGAATGGTTTGGGAAACTGTGCCAACTGAATCAGTTATAGTGTTAGCAATCGAGAAAAACTTTAAGTGTGTTAGCAATCGAGAAAAACTTTAAGTGTGTTAGCAATCGAGAAAAACTTTAAGTGTGTTAGCAATCGAGAAAAACTTTAAGTGTGTTAGCAATCGAGAAAAACTTTAAGTGTGTTAGCAATCGAGAAAAACTTTAAGTGTGTAATTTCTGTGTTGCCACCATCATCAAACTGAATTGCAAAAATTTCAAGATGGTTTCCAAAACCATAATGTTACACTTTTAGGGAAATCAACCTAAAAATGGCTTGTACTGCACATTATGTTAGGTTAGGCAAACAAATATTTAAGACTGAAACATTACAAATTGAAAAATGTGATAAATGAGCTTTAACTGCTAAAAAGAATCTACTGAGGGCTATGAAGAGCACTCCTCCCTTATCATGTCAATTGTAAATCACTAATCTTTTAGATAGATATTTTAAACCTTGAGAAATTTTCATTTGATTTGACGATCAATCAGGAAAAGACTACCTGTGTAAAGCAATAGACTTGATTTAATTAAAGACTACTCTGTGTCCACACAAGAAAAACTAAATAAGTCTTGTCTGTGAGATTTCATTTAATTGCTACTACTGGGTTAATTAGTCCCCGGTTTCTTCTTCAGATCAATAGTCGAAGGAAAGACACTGAAATACAATGTAAACCAGAAACTTCCAAAATGTTAGCATTTAAAAGAATTAAAGATTATTTAAATCTGGACTTTACCTACCTTCTCTAATACTACCATTTAAAAGTCAATAAGATATTTTATTTTGAGACTTTTACTTTGTAAAAAAAAAATCTATATAAAAAAATGCTGTTCTTTTGAACTTTCTATTAATCAAAGAATCCTGAAAAAAAAAATTTAGTTTCCACATATATGTGAACTGTTTTCAAAATTGATAAAATTAATAAGAAATGTTACCAAATCAGCATATTATAATGATTTCTGAAGGATTATGTGACAATGAAGACTGTAAGTAATGAGGCTGAAAATGTAGCTTTACCATGACAGGAATAAATTACCATATAAATTACCATTTTACCATTTTAAAATTACCATTTTAAAATATATTTAAAAGGAAATCAGTTGCAAATTATAATAATTTTCACATTATTACTGTTTTTACTGTATTGTTGATCAAATAAATGCATCCTTGGTGAGCGTAAGAGACTTCTTTTTATTTTATAAAATTATCGAAAAATGGTCATTCAAAGTTTTCTTTATCAGCAAAAATACCTATCTCTGTGTTGAAGGTTTGGGTGAACACTGCGAATTGTAAACCTGTATGACAGCGACCTCATCCTGTATTATTTTTGAAATATGAATTTAAAACTGAAACATATATTATTTTATACAGACATGATACTACTTATCATTGTACCCATATTGACATTTTAATTAGCAACAACATCCTGTGAAATGCTCATTAGGAGGCGCAGGCTCCAGTGCAAGTCATTACAGGCTGAATGTGTTCAAAGATTCACAAGAACTCCATCATCAGAGAGACAAGTGCTTTAGCCATGGACCAATAGACAGTGTCTGCCAGCAATCGAGAATCAGAGACCCAAGAAAGCAGCACTGCAGAGGCTATTGATCCAGCCAGATGTAATGTATTGTCTGTCTGAAAAAGACTATTATCTAAAGAATAGGGGAGACATTCTCGTTTTAGAGGAGGGTTGATAAAAGATGCCCATTGTATAGTTTTTCATGATACCAGCCAAAATCGCTTTCCAGAAACACATGTCAAGGTGCAGGTGGAGACTATATTTAGGTAGTCTGTTAAATTGATCATTTCCATGTCTGTTGACACATGGGAGTGGCAGAGATATTTTTCAGTGTTGTGAGTGGAAGACTTCTTTACAAACATCAGAAGAATCACTGTAGGATGTATGTTCTGAAAAATAGCCTATATTGAGGCATGATCATGGTATAAAATATACAATCTACTTAAACAGTGTTTTCTCACTTTATACATCTTTATATATTTTTTTTTTATTTAATCAAAAATACAGTAAAAGTACTAATATTGTGAAATATTATTATAATTTAAAATACATTTGTGATGCAAAGCTGAATTTTCAGCATCATTACTCTAGTGTTCAGCATCACATGATCCTTTAGGAATCATTCTAATAATCTGATTTGCTGCTCAAGAAACATTTATTATTGTTGTCAATGTTGAAAACAGTTCCGCTGCTTAATATTTTTGTGGAAACCATAATAATTGTTTTGTCAGGATTATTTAATGAATAGAAAGTAAAACAACAACATTTATTTTAAATAGAAATCTTTTGTAACAATGTAAAAGTTTTTACTGTCACTTTTGATCAATTTAATGGATCCTTGAATAAAAGTATTCATTTCTTAAAGAAAAAAATCTTACTGACCTCAAACAATGGTGCATATATTTTTATCAATATTTTCTTGTATTGTAGTGATGTACAGAATCTAAAGTCTTTATGATGATCCACATTTTGGACTTTTCAAATTTAATTGTTAATTAAATGTTGAATATGCAGGAAACGGACTCACCCTAGGCCAGCTATCGTGCGACAAAGCAAGAAGACGCCATAGCCCTGCACAAAAGATGATAGGAAGGCGAAGAACCCATTTATGGACATACAAAGGAGCAGACACTGCCGTCTGCCCAACTTGTCGGCCAAGCCGCCCCAGAAGAAGGCCCCTACCATCATTCCCAGATACACAATGCTGCCTGTAGTGAATAAGAGTAGAGGAAAAAAAGAACAAAGTGAAACAGTAGGAACACACACCTCAGGCAGAGAAACACACAGACTGAAGTTGTCATATTCAGGAGAGTTTGTTTTTGCCTTCATTCTTGTTTGCGTGCTGATTTATATGAACAAAATTGTTTATATGCTGCTTCTTGGAACAGGAACTCCATTAAACTTTCAGTTGACTGATGTTTTCACCTGAGGACTTTGTTGTTTTCCAGGTGAAATGCAGGACACTTTCTGTGATGATGCTATTAGCACAAGGGACGGTGAAATTTGTGATTACATAAGTAGTCCAAAGGAAAAACAAATAACCATTAAAAATGTATCAGATTTAAGTGATCTCAGAATACTCTACAGAAGCTTTCTGATATAACTGTCAAATATGCTTTACTATGCTGTACTTTCAACATTTACTCCATCTGTACAAAAATATTAGCATCTAAAGGATTTAACTGAAAAGGATCTGCAGTGATTGTAATAAGATGCCTACATATCTAGAGCACAGCATTAGGATACTGCAGATAAAATGTTAAATACAGAGAAAAACACAACCTAATATTGTCTAACATTATTATTTTGATAAAAAATGTGCCGGTTTACAGGTACAATGCAATCAAATAATGTTATTCCTCTTCAGCAGACTGAATTTTCTACAAATAATCTAATTGTGTCACGAAACAGAAGAGGAGTCATGAAGGTAAAAGTAACAGTTCTTTATTAAAGGGTTGATGGTGATCTGGAAGATCGTCAGACAGGTGAGTGATGAGCATAAGCAGTTCAAATGACAGTCACACTTAGCTGATGGGGTATTTCTGCTTGCAGGGTTGAAGACAAGCATGATGAAGATAATGGGTCCAAGGCAATGAGTCTCTGGAGGAGGACGATGAAGGTAGGCATATGAAGGCGAGTAGTCAGGTAAGTGTAATCGTGTAGAGACTGACGAGACCGGACAATGAGTGCATGTGAATTGGGTGCTTATATGTGGTGCTCCATGAGCGTGTGACAGGTGTGGCAGGTTAATACTCAGGTGACTGGGAACGAGTGGGTGGAGCTGAAAGACCTGGTGCTGAGGGTGTGTTGGCTGAATCCATGACAGTATAGACAGACCTTCTGTACCCGGATGGGTGTAGCAGCTCTTCTGGCGTCGGCCTGGGTCTTGTGTCTTCGGACTGTCCCTTGCACATGGACATGAGCTGAGTCCCACACCCTCTCGCTGGAACCTGGGATGGTTGGTAGCCAAGAATGCACTGGAAAGGGGTGATTACTTGGCCCACAGTAAGAAGCATTTCCAGCTATGTTGATGATGGTGGCACTATGACCGCAGGTAACAACAAATTTCTTGAGTCTTGCGTTTGGTTTGGCTGTTGGTTTGGGGGTGATAGCCAGAAGAAAAGCTCACTGATACTTCGAGAAGACGAAAGACGGCTTTCCAGACATGAGAGGTGAATTGTGTGCCTCTATTCGACACAATATCCTCTGGTAACCCAAAGTTACGGAAGACGCTATGGACCAGGGCCTCGGCTATTTCCATGGCAGTAGGAAGACCTTTGAATGAGATGAGTTTGGAGGCTTTGGAGAAGCGGTCGACAGCTACAAGGATGCAGGTGTTCTCGTCGGATGGAGGTCTATGACAAAGTCTATTCCCAGGTGAGACCATGAACAGTGAGGGATGGGTAGAGGATGGAGCTTGCCCTCTGGTAAGTGTTTCAGTGTTTGGAGATGGCACAGATGGGACACCCTTGAACGAACGTTGGACATCCTGGGCCATAATTGGCCACCAGCAGCGTTCACAGACCAAGAGGGTCTGCTGGTTACCTGGATGCCCAGTTCCCGGAGACAAGTGAACTGAATCAATGAGGGTTACACGTAGGTTAGATGGGACATAAGTGAGGCCCTCAGGACTGCTGTGGTGGTGGTGCGGCACTGGTGGCGGCTGTAATCTGATCATTAGGAGACCATTGGATCGGAGACACGTAGAGGGCTGAAGGGAGAAAGGTTTCAGAGGATGGTTGAGGTCAGTCTGGAGATTGAAGGCGGGAAAGTGCATCCGCTTTAGTGTTCTTGTCTCCTGGACGGTAGGTGACTTTGAAGTCGAAAAGTGTGAATAATAAAGCCTACTGGGCTTGGCGAGGATTAAGGCGGCATGTGTTTTGGAGATACTCCAAGTTGCAATGATCGGTGATGACCAGGAATTGATGTTTGGCTCTCTCCAGCCAGTGTCTCCATTCTTCTAGAGCTAACTTGATGGCTCACGGTTGCCAATTTCATAGTTTAGGGAGAAGGCGGCACATGGATAAAGTGGAGCGTGTTCCCCCTTGCCGCTGTGAGACCACCGCTCCCACACCATTGGTGGATGGATCCACTTCCACGACGAAGGGCAGATTAGGATTGGGATGTTTGAGAATTGTAGCGGTGCAAAAAGCTTCCTTCAACCGGGGCGAAGGCCTTTGTGGCCGCTGGACTCCAGGAAAGAGACTTGGGCCGATTACGGAGCAGTGACGTGATGAGAGAGGCAATCATGCTAATTTTTTATAGAAGTTGGCGAACCCCAGGAACCGTTAGCTATCTGATGGAAAAGTTCAGGCCAGTTCCTGACCACATATACTTTCCACTGGTCCATTTGGATGCCACATCCGTCGATGATGTAACCCAAGAAGTGGACGGATAGACGATGAAACTCGCACTTCTCCAGCTTAAAATAGAGTTGGTGATCTCTGCGGTATTGGAGGACCTGTGCAACGTGATGGTGGTGTTTGGCCAGGTTACGTGAGTAGATCAGGATAACGTCAATGTAGATGATGACAAATCTATGGAGCATGTCTCTGAATACCTTGCTCATGAAGCCTTGGAAGACTGAAGGTGAGTTAGCTAGCCCGTACGTCATAAACTTGTATTCATAGTGCCAGAGGGTGGCATTCATAGTGCCACTTTTGGACTTTCAATGGTTGTGGAGTAGAGATAAACAGTAGATTCAGGAGATGAAGATGAAGTGTCTTCCAGAGGAAGATACATACAATGATCAGGACAGAACTCACTCCATTTGGTAACTTCTCTGGTAGACCATGAAACGACAGGTGAATAGTTCTGCAGCCAGGGACGTCCCAGGATGATATCAGTGGTAGATCCTTCTAGCACCAGAACTGAGATCTCCCCCCTATGCATGTGTCACACAACAGAAGGAAACAGACAGGTAAGTGAATAAAGAGATGTTTATTTAAAGTCCCACTCCGATCATATTTTTAGCTATTTTTAAACATTCCCAGTGGTCTTTAAATTATGATTATGCCATTTTTAGCCAAAATCACAAAACCTGTGCCGTTTTCTGGGACTTCGCTTCAGCAGAGCGGCAGTAGCTCATTAGCAATTCGCCTCTGCGTTGTGGGCGGAGCCGTTGGCACGGAGACGACCCTCCCCCTGCCCGTTGCTGAGAGCTCTGTCTCTCCCGCTAGCTTACACCCCCAATACCGGTGGGGCAACAGTATTATATACACGTTAATTATTATTATCCGTAGTTAATCAAAGTTATCACCGATCACCAATCATTATTTCACTCCAAGACGTCGCGTGTGGAGACGCCCAGTGGAGTTACTACGTCACAACTCCAGTCTATTTTAGCCGGCATTTTATCGTCTGCTACTGATTCACAGCCATTTGAATGTGGAAATACTCAGAAATACAACTTTGAGCTTATTTTTCTCAAGGTATGTCCTCTAACATCAGAAAAATGCCACAAGAACATGTTAACACCTAGAAAAACATTATTTTCATCAGAGTGGGTCTTTAAGCAGAGGGTAGAGCGATAGTGGGAACCAGGCAACGGTGAGTCTATGACAGCAGGAAATATCAAACGATGACTTAGCTGGATGGTAATGACTGTTTGTATCTTTGCAGAAGGTGGAAGAGAGGCGAAGGCTGACGAGCTGGATCTGGACGGAGGATGACAGAAGACAGGCGACTGGAAATGGCGATCTCAGCTGAGTATTGGCGGGTAAGTGTTGCAGGTAGGTAGTCGGTGCGTCTTAGTGTTGATGAGGGAGTGCATGTGCAGTGAATCAGTATTCGGGTGATTGGGAACGAGTGGGCGGATCGTGATGATCTGGTGAAGATTGGTGTTGTGATGGGCTGACTCTGTGACAACAGGTCTCCAATACTGAGCGTGACGGCTGGTGTGCAGTGCGTGATGACTCCTCGACCAAGCAGCTTACCCAGGATGGAATGGATGTTCAGTGTTTGGGAACTGGGGAGTTTCTTGATACGGATATGTTCGAGAAGTTTCTGTGAGATGAAATTCCCAGCAGAGTCGATGAGAGCTTGAGCTGGAAGGGAACATCGAGGAGCAATCACTGACACTGGAGTGCGTTTCAATGAAGAGATAGTTAAGGGGAATTGGACAGCACTCACCATTGGTTGAGTAGGACGTACTTGACTGTCTGGGATTAGGTGATCTTTAGACCCACAGTATAAGCACAGATTGTTGTGAATACACCGTTGTCGCTCAGACTGGGTGAGATGGAATGAATTGACCTGCATAGGTTTGCTGAGTGGTGCTGCTGGAGCGGCTGATGGCATAAAGCAAGAGGATTGCAGCGGTGGTGGTGAGTCCAATTGGCAGGCTGAGATGCATTGAGCCACACGAATGGATCGTTGAATAAGAATTTCTAGTTCTACGGTTTCATCGTAAATCACCATTTGAAGTCTTAAATCTGGGGACAGACCTTAATTAAAAGCTGTTATTAATGCTGCTTTGTTCCACCCACTTGCCACCGCTAGGGTGCGGAATTGCACAGCATAATCACTCACTGAAGATTTACCTTGATGGAGGTGATAGAGTTGATTGTGGATCGAGGTAAGGTGACTGGTCTGCCCAAACACTTCTTTGAAATGTGTGATGAAGTAGTTCATAGAACGAGTGAGTGGGCTGTCTTGTTACCAAATGGTGTTTGCCTACTGAAGAGTGCGACCTGATAGGAGAGATATT